AAATAAATAAATAAATAAATAAATAAATAAATAAATAAATAAATAAATAAACAAATAAACAAATAAACAAATAAATAAATAAATAAAAGGGAATTTTTCCTTTCCACTGTTGCCACTGTGTTTGCTCAGGATGGGAGACTGCAACGAAGTCAAGATTCAACTTGTCTGCTGGATTCCTTAGATAGAGAACTTTACTAATTGGCTTTCATGTATGTGAATGTTTCTGTAAAGTGCCCTGAGACAACTTTATTGTGATTTGGCGCTATATAAATAAACTGAATTGAATTGAACTGTCCATGGATTGTTCTTTGTGTAATTTTCTGTTCCTCCCATGATCACCTTTTGGCGCTATATAAATAAACTGAATTGAATTGAATTGAATTTATTCATGGATTGTTCTTTGTGTAATTTTCTGTTCCTCCCATGATCACCTCTCCACATGTAAGATTTGTGGTCATGTCACCCTTTTTTGTTGTTAATATTAAATATATTTTATCTAATACAAACCACATTTTCAAGGCTATCAGCAGTCAAATGCACCTTGTCGTCATTCGAAGTTATTTTTAACAAATGTAGGCTTGGTTTGTTTTCATCCCGCCCATCGGGAAAATCCCAACACAATGTGTATTTAAGGAGGGAGCTCTGAGTGGAGAGTGACCCTCTCTGAATTCCTGCAGAGTGTGACACTTTTTCAACTTCACACCGTCACAAAGACTGACTGAGTGAGAATGGCAAGCAGCAAAGTGTGTCTGGTGTCAGCTCTGTGCTCCTTCATCATATTCACCATCTGTATCAGCAGCACAGAGTCAGGTGAGTCATTTAACAGAGATTTCTGTGAACTCCGTTAAACATGTGTCGGCTATTTGTAAGTTAATAACTGATGTGCATTTTAAGAAGAACATTAAATGAAAAACAAAAAGGTTTATTCCAATAAGTTGATTGTTCATGTCTGTTTTTTTCTGTTTGCACAGTGAGCTGCTGTATGAGGTACTCAAAACACCCTCCACCTTTGAAAAAGATTTTGGGCTACAACATTCAGACCATCACTGGATCCTGTGACATCAGCGCCATTGTGTGAGCTAACAGTTCAGTTGTTACTCGTGTAATAAAAAAAAAGACAAAATCTCTAAACACAAGCCAGTGCAAGTATTTATTTATTTATTTATGGTAATGGATTTGCAAAGCTCTCAACTATTTTTGAGATCTTATATTTTGCTTTAGAGATTACTTAAAACAGTTAATCAAATTTAATAATCTACAACCCGGAGGTTACAGCTTTGCTTGCAAAGTTTATGTTACAGCTATTTGCTTAAAAAAAAAAAAAAAGAGTGGGATGCAAAAACACTTTGGCTGCTAGAAAAACAGGATATAATACAAAACAAGTGGATCAAGTTACTGATATTGCATAACTTCCTGGAATGAGACATTATGAAAGAAATGTGTGTAGGAAGAAGAGCACACTTGTAAACATTATTCTCTCCTCCCACAGCTTCCAGCTTCCAGGCAGGTTTGTGTGCGCCGACCCTTCAACAGACTGGACCCAGAAGGCTTTGAAAATCATTGAGTGAGTATTAATCTTAACCATCATATGCATCATTTAGATTTTTATTTTTTAACACTGAAACAAATCCTTTTTATTTGCAGTGTAAGGAGAAGGAAGGTCAATCAGATCCTGAAAGGAAAACACTGAAATGCTGCCAACTAAACTCTGCTGAACAGCTCAGGTGCAGGAGCTGAAATTTAAACTGCCAGTGAAAACCTGAGGAGTTAAACTTCTCAATCTGTGGCATAATTCATATTTATTATATGTTTAATGTGACCTTTTATAATATATTATTCTGTTTTATAAACAGTGCAGTGTAGTTCTCTTATTACTGAATGTGCTAATAACTAATAGTTAGTTTTAAACTGAAATAAAAAAAGACCTTATGCGTGCTGATGTTCACTAGCTGACATTTCAGTCTGTTTTAAAACAGTTATGTAAAACAACATACCTTTAAATGTGAAAGTTGAAGGGTTTGTAAATTACTATTTGTCATTAAATTTAATATTTTTTAAGTCTATTTTTTAAGTCTATTTTTTAAATCGTGTTTCATTTTAAATTAAATAAGTTGTTATGTTCCCTTTTTAGGGAGGGCCTTGTTATCTGATTTGATCACTCTACATAATCATCAACAGGTTCATATGCAGTAAAATCTGCTGTAGGAAATGTCTGAATACAAAAAGGTTAAATCATGTCATCTAAACACGTTTCTTTTTGGGAGAAACGTTTCATCTTTCATCTGAAAGACTTCTTCAGTCTGCAGCCTGCCAATTTAATCAGTTAAGGAAATGCTGTACAGCTTCCATTAAAGCAGCAAAACAAAACTACTATTTATTTCACACCACCAAAAATCTAAATGAGAGAAAGTCTAAAAGAGCTTCAGGAAAACTATTAAATCTCTTGATGGCAGCACTCACTCATCTGACTTGTCACCACAATTATTTGTCGACTCTGCTCCTGTGTCAGATAATCACGAGATGCTAAATTATTTCAGCAAACATTTTGTAGCCTCCTTTTTCTTGTTTGATACAATTTCTAATGGTAAATCACCTACTCCATCAAGTCAAACCTCAGTAAACCATACATTCTTTTTTTCACCGTTCTCTGTCAGTGAGGTTACAAAACTGTTAAAAGAACTGGATAGTAGAAAATCTGCAGGCCCTGACGACCTCCCTCCTTATTTCTCAAGTCTAGCTGCACAATTTATAGCAGAACCGGTGTCATGCATTTTCAATCTGTCTATACAACATAATACTATCCCAGATGCTTGGAAAACAGCTTTTGTGCTGCAATTAATGAAGGGAGGAGACCCCACTATTTTGAACAATTATCGACTAATCTCCAAACTCTGTATTTTAGCTATGGTTTGAGAAAAACTAATACTCAAGTCAAGAAGTATTTGGACTCAATATTTTATCTTCTCTCTAATCTGGCTTCAGGAAACAACATAGCATAATGACTGCTGCGCTAAAGGTTTTTAATGATGTCGTTGAAGCTGTAGTGAACTAAGCCTCCGGTCAAAACCTGCCTCTGAAGACCTTCATGGGACAGGAACTGTTATTTCATTGATTTGAATCCAGAAATACAAATTAGCTCATCCAGAGACTTTCTAATTGTATCCTGAACTAATCAATTGAAAGAACACTCTCTTTTTTATATTATCAGTACTATTTTTACAATGTCTTGATAATCAAAAGTGTGTTTAGTTCAAACCATTTTAAATGTTGAAGTGAACTACTCATTTTAAATCAACTGTGAAACAGTATTAATGATTTTTAATCCTCATTCAAAGTAGAAATCAAGTTAAATGTCTGTTACAAAGTAATTATGCATTTTGATCTTCTGTCTGAAATGAGAAAGGAGTGATGTCGGTCAAAAGTCGGAGACAGTCGCAAACAAGTTTATTGGAACGAACTGTCATGTTTTTAAACCTCTCAGACAGAAACAAGATAAACTGGCACCTGTAGTCTGTCATTTCTCCAAAACATTTCTCTGTCTGTTCCTAAACATCTCCGCTGTTTATCTGACTTGTAATAACCCTCTGACATCACTAAAACCACACCCCTGTTGTTTCTTTCAACCAATCAGGACTTCTTAAAAGTGACCGGAAGCAGAACTCTTTAAAAGTCGACACTTCCTAGTTCCAGTTAGTTCTGGGGGAAGAACAGAAGTTCCGAGAGAGAACAGAAGTTCTGAGTTCCTCTGAGTCTTCTCAAAGTCCCGTTAGCTCTTCTGGTTCTGATGGAGTTCGGCTGGAGTTCCTGTCGGAGCCACGACGCCTCGCTGTGGCTCCACCCGGCTAACGCCCTATAACTGCTGAGGAAGTTTGTTCTATGGAACGAATTATCTCACGACTTCTGCCTAGTCGCAGCCGCCCTGAGGAGACGCTGAAAGGTAGTGTGCCAGGGACCTCTTGACCGCAGCTGATTCATCCTCTGCCAAGGTAAAGAGTCGTCACGAGCTTCACTACCAGTGTACTGCGGGCGAACTGCGCTTGAAAGGAGCGTGTTGTTCTGGTTTACAGACATACATCCTCATCCATCTTTTCTCTCCATTCAAACTCCTTCATTTCCCATCTTTAAAACTCTTCTATCTTGCCAGTAAAAGATAAGCTAAAAGTCTGCAGATATTAATTTAAGATCTAAGGATATGTCTGTTGTTTCAAGCTGCAAGTGAGAAATCATGGCCGTATGATTTCTCATTGTAAAGCTCATTAATTAAGCTGTGTTTTTATTAAGTAAAACGTGCCAAGTTTTATTAATCAGAGCCGATCAGAATAATCAAGTGTACAATGTTTTGATGTTAAATTTTGATTCTGTTAATAAATGACCACATTAATTTTGATGGGTCAAAGAAAATTAACGTCTCATGTCACTGATTAGACCATCTCCCACACAGTATCTCTGTCACATATCTGTCAAGTAGCTCGAAAAAGAGAGAACCCGTTATTAAATATTGATTGTAGTGGAGCTTTTAAGCTAACCTAACCCTACCTCACTACATTTCTGGTGGCCCTGTACAGGTCTCTAAAGAGCTTCTCGTGACCCGCTATCCGCCGTTTGGACATTTCGTGGCCGTACGAATGTTTAAAGAGGTGTGAATTAAATGTGACGGAGTCTGTGTTATTGAACGCTGAATGTTGGCATGAAAAGTCCAAGTTTTGAGCTTGATACGGCATGATTCTGCTTGTGGGGTTCAGAGAGCTGAAAGTAATGTCAATGCAGAGATGGGGGTTCTGACCCGGTTCTGCTGTCGGACTCGGTTCAGATTCGTTGAACGAGTCGTGTTTTGAATGGATAAAACGCTGTTTTGAAGCTGAGCGCCGTCTCAGACCACTGTTGAAAGAGCTTCGTTACATTTGTAGCAGTAGATTGTGCATTTTGAAAGTTAATGGACGAAAGTTGACCGGACTTTTTCAGGCTAGCTGCTAACACTGCTAGCTGGAATCACGAGCTGTGATTGGTTGAAATCCGCTGTTTGGGTCGCTCTGATTCACTGAGAAATGGGTGACATGTCTGCGTTCACTCCCTCTGATGTCAGATTGTAAAAGCCACCCCGTTGCTCATTGGTTGATTCAGTTACGTGACCCCAGAAATGAATCTCGGTTCAACCGAAGCCTCCTCTGTGTTTAAAATCGCTAAATGGAGCTGCCACTGTTCCCAAAACTCATGTGTTCATGCAGATAGACGTGCTTGTTAAAGCGACGCCACGTTTAAGCTTTAAATCCGTTCAGAAAGTGCTGATTCGACCATGTGCTACGTCTAGCTAATGGCTAACAACCGAATGTCAACAGAACAGAACGGTTCACAGGAAGTTGTCATAGACTTCTGCTGGTAAAAATAAGCTTACACCGCCACCTGCTGTTGAAAGGGGAGTATAACAGTTTTCCTGAAAGAAGGCTGCTCACTGCCTTTCATTTAAAATATTTTTGCTTTTGTTAATTCAGCCTGGTTTATGAGTTACTGTTTTAAATAGCAAATTCTGGTAAATAAAACTGCTTAAAAAGCGTTTAAAAACTAAAGTTGCCATGAGACTTTTAGAAAAATTGCAGGTTTATTTAATTTTAAGTGCTTTAGAGTAAATGAACACTGAAATAGGCCTGGTTCTTGTATCTGTTTGATTTAAGCTCTTTAAGTAACACTGCCAGACGGAGGCATTTACTTAGAATATTCATGCTTTGGGGTGAATCCTACAAATAGGTGCCCATTCATTTGAAGAAGTTGGCTTACACAGTACTGTTGAGTGAACCCAGGGCTAAAATAGTGTGTGAAACTCACATGGCACTTGAATACAAATATGTACCTGTTAAAATATCTGAAGTTGGCAACTGTTTAACCAGATAAGTGCTGAACAGTGAATAACCATGGTAGATGTGACAGAACAGAATATTGATCCTGGTGTGATGGATTGGTTAGAGAGAGCGTTGACGCTGCTCACAGAATCCTTAAATCCATATGGTGAACAGGTGGACAGCATGAACTCAAAAGAGTTATTGGACGAGCTGAAGGACGTTGCAGAGAGTGTGACCTCTACAGCCAGAACAAAGTCAAGCTATGACCAGCTGGCTAAATTTGTGCTTTTATTGAAAGCAACATTCTATGCTGTGGTAAACAAGGCTGACGACCTTGCAATAAGGTTAAACAGCGAAAAAGAGGAGTACCTCAAACTCATGGCACAGTCTAAATTTGATCAGGAGACCCGTGCGAATGAGTTACAACGTGACAGAGAGCTCTCATAAGCTCAGCTGTCATTACAAGCTCACTCATATGAGGAGAAGATGAGGGAAAGAGAGGTTAAGTACCAAGCACTGTGTTCAGACAACGATACGCTACAACAACAGTTGCAGCTCACATCAAAAGCTCTGAACGAATGCAGATTGGAAAAGGTGGCGTTAGTCCAACAAGGCGTGCATTTACAAAGTGAATGTCATACATCACAGGAACGCTTAAAAGCCTGTGAGGCGAAACTAGCCGCTGCAACAAATGAGATTTCTGACGTGGGGCGAGGTTGTCTGGAACTCAAAGACGAACAAGGTCAGAGTCCAGGTCACCCACCATCACCTCAGAAGGATTTTGGTGCACCTCCTGCTCTTAATCCCATTCCGTCACCTCCACATGTGTCTAGCGACACACCTCCACGTGCCATTTTGGTTCCTAC